AAAACTGAAGAAATAACACTTACAGACGCTTTCAGTGGTAATAACATAAACGGTACTGCGCATGTGCATTACTCGGGCCCAAACTTAACTTCCGGCAGACCTCCGCAAGCAATCCATAACAAGTAAATAACCTTAGCTGCCAGTTGAAGAAAAGAAACGTTACTTGGCCAAACTGAAATGTGATAAGGTCACACTAGACCCGTTGAAAAAAACAATGTTTTTGTACCGACCTGTCTGATTTACTGCATTGTTTCCCACAGAATGACAGCGTAACTGTGGCGAGCGCGGCGGGGGGGGATCTCGGACACTGACGTTGGACAGATTTGTGCAGCGGTGTTCATGATACTAACCATTCAATACACAGACTGGTGCAGCTCTGCTTCACGCGGCGCATCTTAAATAGTAAAAAAAAAACAGAAACCAATATGTGGCAGTCAGCGATGATAATGATAATGTAGTGGGTCGCCACAAACAAAGGAATGTATGGGAAACACTGTACTGGATATCACTCACCATATTAGCCAGTAAACACAAACCCAGTAATAAACAAACAGAACGGAAGTTAACTTCGGGCCGGGCTCGTCACCTTCTCAACGTGTCTGATCAAAGCGTCTATAACTGTGTAAACTTGCTGTCCCCTCAAAATAACACATCACACAGCCATTAATGTCTAAACCGCTGGCAACAAAAGTGAGGACACCCCTGAGTGAAAATGTCCAAATTGGGCCCAATTAGCCATTTTCCCTCCCCGGTGTCATGTGACTCGTTAGTGTTACAGGGTCTCAGGTGTGAATGGGGAGCAGGTGTGTTAAATTTGGTGTTATCGCTCTCACACTCCCTCATACTGCTCACTGGAAGTTCAACAAGGCACCTCATGGCAAAGAACTCTCTGAGGATCTGAAAAAGATAATGGTTGCTCTACATAAAGATGGTCTAGGCTATAAGAAGACCGCCAAGACCCTGAAACTGAGCTGCAGCACGGTGGCCAAGACCACACAGCGGCTCAACAGGCCTCACCATGGTCGACCAAAGAAGTTGAGTGCACGTGCTCGGTGTCATATCCAGAGGTTGTCTTTGAGAAATAGATGTGAGTGCTGACAGCATTGCTTCAGAGGTTGAAGGGGTCAGGGGTCAGCCTGTCAGGGCACAGACCATACGCCACACACTGCATCAAATTGGCCTGCATGACTTTCATCTCAGAAGCAAACCTCTTGTAACTGTGTGGGCTGATCTATGAAAAGTAGGTGTTGTAAACTCAGCTCCGAAAGCAGGGTTTGCGATAGGAGTTTTCAGATTACCATTTACAAGGTTTTAAACCCTGAACACAAACTAACACATTGGGAGAATCCAAACTAATTTGAAACTCTGAAAATGTGTTGCCGCGACAACCGACAGAAGTGTCCCACAGTTGGGAAGGAAAACAAAATAAAGTTTGTAGAGATTATAATTTTTTTTAATACTATGAAATCATTCAAAAATTGTTCAATCTTGCTAAACTTTTTTGTTTGTTTTCAGACATGGTGTGATTTTCATTCCACAGATATCAATTTAATTTAACTCTTGTGAAGTTCTTTAAATCGTCTTCCAGCTGTCCAGAATTCAGACTGTTGTGGTGGCAGCCCGGCTGACGGTCAGTGTCCTGGTTATTCTGCTTTTTCCTTGGTTTTCTGTTCCCTGCCTGCCTCCCTGTGTTTTCTCCCCTGTATTCTCTCTCTCTCTCTGCTCCTGAGCCCAGCCAACGACCTGCATCTCATCAGCCACCTCGTCAGCCTGCCAGTAATCACCTCATGCCTGCCTGTATTTCAACCCCGGTTCTCCACACCATCCTCGCTTGATCGTCGTTGCTCCATACCCGGTGCCACCCCCACGTTCAGGCTCTCCTGTTTCTTGTTTTATTCTCACATTTACCCTGTGCTTTGTCTCTGTTATCTCTAACCTTGTCTCTCTGTCTGTTTCCCTCCCAGGTACACTCACCCTTGTCCTCCGTTCAGTCGGCTGGGCTCATCCACCGGCCCTCTCCTCCTCGGACCTCCCCCACGGCGTGCTCCCTGTTCTCCCACCGCTCCTCGCTTCCTCGGCCCCGGTGTTCCCCAGGCTCCTTGGTTCCTCGTGCCTGTGTTTCCCCGACGTCCTCCTCTCCCTCCACTCCACTCCCTCTCACCCTTTTTCCCCTCAATAAACCTCCTTCCCTCAGAGTGCTGCATTTGGGTCCTCTCTGTCCCCACACCACACAACCTGTGTCAGTATGTGCCTCACCAGCTTCCCTTGCTAAGCATTAACTCAGTCCTCCATTAGGGTCTGAGCTGCTTGTATCTGATGCTGCCTGTACATCTCTGGCTGTGCTTTTACTGGCTGAGGCTGCCTGTATTTCACCTGGGTCTGTGTGACTTTCTAAAACCTTCTGTGTTTCAGCTGTGTGCTGGCTGATGATCCAGCATCTCCTCTGCAGACAAACTTCAGCATAGCCCCAGTAAATTATAAATCAATACTTGCAAGATATTAATGTTATCAGCTGCATCAGGCCCAAACAAACTGGCTCCCTGAGTTTCCTTTAATATTTTCCTTTTGAAAATGTACTATTTATTGATCTACTGAGAGATGTGCATCCATATTGCCTAGTCTGTCCTGCTAATCAACATTTTAATGGTCAATGTGATTCCCATTCTTTCCATCATGCATCAGTCCAGAGTTGTGACTAAACCTTCAATGAGCGCAGGTTCACGTGCGACGTGGTTTTCTTTTCAGCGCAGTTTATAAACATCGTTGCACGTCGGCTGCTCAGCTGGGTTAGCAAGACAGACAGAGATTCACTGCAGCTACACATGCTGCTCACATCAGACCTTTTACCTGCTGAAGTTAACCTGACTGCTGTTCTCCAAAGTCACTCTCGCTGAGTTATTTTTTCTTCATGTGCACAGAAGGATAGTCCCGCTTTAGACCTCTCATCAACGTTGGAAACACTCGCTTTCAAAATGGACTCGTTCTTGCGACGTTTCATATCGTGACAACGTGCCTTTTCACATCGACCACTAGGTAGCTTCAACGTATTCCTTTAAGGCGCTCGTCATAATTATGTATGCAAAAGTGCTTCTTTTTGCCACTGACAGGCTCAGATTGTTATACCAGGTGTCTGACACAATCGTAGAAGGGATCCCTATGAGTAACCTTGTTTTTAACCAGAAACAGAAGTCTTGCTAAAGGACAATTCTTGCTCTGAAATCTCGAAAGGAGTACATTGCAGCCACTGAAGCTAGTTCATGGGAAGCCATCTACTGCACGGATTTCAAAACATTTTGTACCTATTAGTCATATAGTAAGACCGTCCCTGTGTTTGAGACAAACTGGCTCAGGGAAACAGACATTTTAACTAATGCTAATGTTTGACATAATGTTTCATCAGTTAATTGCAAGCACTTGTTAATACTACTTATACGTCTGGAACACTAATGTCAGGAAACTGCAGGCAAACTTATGTCCATTACAGTTCTGATAATAGTTTTCTCACAATGTTAATTTAATGTGAAATAACCTAAATCCATATTAAAAATAAAACCAAATACTTAAAACCAGTCCTTATTCTTAGAATATACATCTTAACTGAGTCGACTATATCACAACCGCATCTACATAAACATCCAGGTTCTAGTTTGAAGTAAACAAGCAGCCATTACTACGGTGCTGCCTCACTTGTAAACCGACGTACAATTCAATTTAATTACATTTTATTTATATAGCACCAATTCATAACAGTTATCTCATATCACTTTTCATATAAGAGCAGGTCTAGACCGTACTCTGTGATATTATTTACAGAAACCCAACAACAACACTGATGTACATGAAGGACTCACTTTCTAACTG